TATTTTTTAAAATTTACATCCAAATTAGTTAGCATATATTGAAACAATGATTTCAGGAGTAGATTCCTTAATGCCCCTTACCCATTTAGCCCATCCCCCCTCCCAAAACCCCTCCAGTGACCCTCAGTTTGGTCTCCATATTTATGAGTCTCTTCTGTTTTGTCCCCCTCCCTGTTTTTATATTATTTTTGTTCCCAGAAGCTTTTTATATTGATGAGGTCCCAATAGTTCATTTTTGCTTTTGTTTCCCTTGCCTCCAGAGATGTGTTGAGTAAGAAGTTCCTGCAGCCAAGGTCAAGGAGGTTTTTGCCTGCTTTCTCCTTGAGGATTTTGATGGCTTCCTGTCTTACATTGAGGTCTTTCATCCATTTTGAGTTTATTTTGGTGTCTGGTGTAAGAAAGTGGTCCAGGTTCATTTTTCTGCAAGTTGCTGTCCAGTTTTCCCAGCACCACTTGCTGAAGAGACTGTCTTTATTCCATTGGATATTCTTTCCTGCTTTGTCAAGGCCATAGGTTTGTGGGTCCATTTCTGGGTTCTCTACTCTGTTCCATTGACTTGAGTGTCTGTTCTTGTGCCAGTCCCACACTGTCTTCATGATTACAGCTTTGTAAAACATCTTGAAGTCTGAGACTGTGATGCCTCCTGCTTTGGTTTTCTTTCTTTTTTTTTTTTTTATTTAAAAAAATTCTTTTTAACGTTTATTTATTTATTTATTTATTTATTTATTTATTTATTTATTTTTGGGACAGAGAGAGACAGAGCATGAACGGGGGAGGGGTAGAGAGAGAGGGAGACACAGAATCAGAAACAGGCTCCAGGCTCTGAGCCATCAGCCCAGAGCCCAATGCGGGGCTCGAACTCACGGACCGCGAGATCGTGACCTGGCTGAAGTTGGACGCTTAACCGACTGCGCCACCCAGGCGCCCCTGGTTTTCTTTTTCAAGATTGCTTTGGCTAGTTGGGGTCTTTTCTGGTTCCATACAAATTTTAGGATTGTTTGTTCTATCTCTGTGAAGAATGCTGGTGTTACTTTGATAGGGAATGCATTGGATGTGTAGAAGTCTTTGTGTAGTATTGACATTTTAACAATATTTGTTCTTCCTATCCAGGAGCATGGAATCTTTTTCCATTTTTTTGTGCCATCTTCGATTTCTTTCATGAGCTTTCTATAGTTTTCAGTGTATAGATTTTTCACCTCTTTGGTTAGAATTATTCTTAGGTATTTTATAGGTTTTGGTGCAATTGTAAATGGGATCGATTCCTTGATTTCCCTTTCTACTGCTTCATTATTGGTGTATAGGAATGCAATTGATTTCTGTGCATTGGTTTTATATCCTGCAGCTTTGCCAAGTTCATGAATCAGTTCTAGCAGTTTTTGGTGGAATCTTTTGTATAAAGTATCCTGTCATCTGTGAAGAGTGAAAGTTTGATCCCCTCTTGGCTGATTTGGATGCCTTTTATTTCTTTGTGTTGTCTGATGGCTGAGGCTAGGACTTCCAACACTATTTTGAATAACAATGATGAGAGTGGACATCCCTGTCTTTTCCCTGACCTTAGGGGGAAAGCTCTCAGTTTTTCCCCATTGAGGATGATATTAGCATTGGGTCTTTCATATATGGCTTTTATGATCTTGAGATATGATCCTTCTGTTCCTACTTTCCTGAGGGTTTTTATCAAGAAATGATGCTGTATTTTATCAAATGCTTTCTCTGCATCTATTGAGATGATCATATGGTTCTTGTCCTGTCTTTTTTTTGATGTGATGAATCACATTGGTTGTTTTGTGGATATTGAATCAGCCCTGCATCCCAGGTATAAATCCCACTTGTTCATGGTGAATAATTTTTTAATGTATTGTTGGATCCAGTTGGCCAATAACTTGTTGAGGATTTTTGCATTGATATTCATCAAAAAAGGAGCCAGCATTACATTAGTGGATTGGAGACAAGTCCATGAGGAATTGTTAGGAAAGAAGGAAAAGGGACACAAGGTAGAAGAAAAGCCCGCACTGAAATATAAAGAGCATTCATGATGTGCATAGGATCTTACTGAAACATTTGTATGAAAGTGTATGAATAGGAATTCATGCATAAAATGGAAGAGAAATTTTATAAGACTTCTGGAACAAAGAAAATCAGTGAGAATAACATTTGGTTAAGTCTACTGTTTCTAAACAACTATATTGAATGAAAACAACAAAATTGAATGAATATGTGCTACTAACTTACATAAAGACCTACAAGAACAATAACTTAATGATACCAACATTGGTCACTAATTCAAGGGCAGATTGCCAAAGACTTGGAAATGAAAAGGTATATCAGAAGGGCATTTACAACGTGGGGAAGAAGCAGTAAGTAAGTAGTGATTTCATCTTACACAAAGATACACAGATTCATATAGACTTCTAGAATGGAAAGGTGATCTTTAGTCAAATGATGAAGAAAAATACCTTCCAGATGATGGCCAAAGGTGATGCAACTTTCAGAAATAGATCTACTCCCCAAATGCCAAGAAGACCAATAAGGAATAACAAAGATATGAAAACAAGTCAGAAACATGCCTAAAGGGTAATTTATTATGGCTAAGAATGAAGCACTTTATTTCTTGTGTATAGCAAGGACTGACACAAGAAGAGTATTGAAGTGCCTGCTCAACCCTGTCAGTAAGAAAATGAAAAATAGGAGTGCCTAGGTGGCTTGGTAGTTAAGCGTTTGACTCTTGATTTCGGCTCGGGTCATGATCTCACGGTTCATGAGTTTAAGACCTGCATCAGCCTCCATGCTGAATGTTGAGCCTGTTTGAGATTCTCTCTCTCTCTCTCTCTCTCTCTCTCTCTTCCTTTCTCTTTCTCTCTCTCTTCCTTTGCAGCTCTTCCACACTCATGTGCTGTCTGTAAAATAAAATAAAATAAAATAAAATAAAATAAAATAAAATAAGATAAGATAAATGTTTCTTTAAAAAAAAATAAACACAATGTAGAGACTGATAAGTAGCACAGAATTGAATAGATCAGAACAACTCCCACCAGAAAATCCCATTCGATTACAAAGACATTATATTAAAACAGGTGTTTTCAGAAGGGTTTGTTACACAGTCCTAGAACCGAGAGGAATTATAATAATATGCTTCTTCCCATTTTAGGTATTTGTGCTGATATTTGGAGACAGAAGTCACGGTTACTCTGTTATTAAAATTTATTTTAGATAGGCTGTGTTATAAAGAGACTTTGTTAGGGTTCCAGCCAGGTAATCAAGAGAAGTTGGAAGGACAAGGCTCTTGGCACCAAAGTTGTGACCTGAATCATATGACTGGACAGGAATTCAATGTCTAAAGAGTCATCCTTTGATCATGAGGATATATATGTATGATATATAAAAGATGATATTGATATTGTTCAATTATTGCCCATAGCATGGTTATGATCTTTCATTTAGAGCAGTGGAATGAGTCCTATCTGTATGCAGCAGAAAGAGTAAGATGATTCAGTAAAAACACCATAAACATGTTTTTGGAAAACATGGAAAAAATACAACTCTAGTACATGGACACCAAACTAACTCCACACTTCAGTGAGTAGATGGACAGCACAAAATGAAATATTTTGCTCAGTAATACCCAGTATAATTTTGATTTTTCTTCATCATAGTTAATATCTTCCTTGACTCAAAGGCCATATGAAGTTAATCTATTTATTCAAATATGTGTTTCTGTTGTAAATGCCATTTGGGGACATGTATTTGGTGATCATTTTGCCAATCACTGTTGTAAGCACTGTGGGTACAGCTGCATAGGAGAACATATCATAATAAGGAGAATGGAATGCAATGGCTTACCTATAAGATGAACTATATTAGTCTACATTGTCAGAACGAGAAGTCAAGGCAGTGAAGGACAAAGTATTGATATACACAAGTGAAAAACTGGGGTCTCATACTTTCCTGTATTATGAAATTATATGAATGGTCTTGGTTATCAAAAGTAGTTTTTTCTTTTTTTTAAATATAATTTATTGACAGATTGGTTTCCAAACAACACCCAGGGCTCATCCCAACAGGTGCCTTCCTCAATGCCCATCACCCACTTTCCCCTCTCCCCCACCCCTCTTCAACCCTCACTTTGTTCTCAGTATCCAAGAGTCTCTTATGGTTTGCCTCCCTCCCTCTCTGTAACTTTTTTTTTCCCTCTGCCTCCTCCATGGTCTTCTGTTAAGTTTCTCAAGATCCACCTATGAGTGAAAACATATGGTATCTGTCTTTCTCTGCCCAACTTATTTCACTTAGCATAATACCTTCCAGTTCCATCCATGTTGCTGCAAATGGCCAGATTTCATTCTTTCTCTTTGCCAAGTAGTATTCCATTGTATATATTAGTCACATCTTCTTTATCCATTCATCAGTTGATGGACATTTAGGCTCTTTCCATAATTTGGTTATTGTTGAAAGTGCTGCTGTAAACATTGCGGTACAAGTGCCCCTGTGCATCAGCACTCCTATATCCGTTGGGTAAATTCCTAGCAGTGCTATTGCTAGGTCATAGGGTAGTTCTATTTTTAATTTTTTGAGGAACATCCACACTGTTTTCCTTTTTCTATATGAGTAATATAACTCATGGCTATCCTTTTAGTAAAACAGGAGAAAAATTACTTGGAATGATATATGTTGTTTGAGTAGACGTTATTTTTAAGAAATTCATGTTACCCCAGGAGACAAGTGGGAATTTCCAAATATTTTTTTATCAAAACTGAAAAAATATTTGAAACAGTAGGAAATAGACAAAGGGGAAACTGTCTATATATCAGACAGAGCAGAGGCTTAATAAGTGAGTTACTTAAAAAAATATGGAGAAGTTGAAGTCAAGCAAATGAAATTCTGGGAAATAAAAGCAGAAGAAAAGCAGATTCTTCTTCCAGAGTCTGATCAAAGAACGGCAGATTCTAGCTCTGAGGCTTTGAGCCCTGCAATCATGGGCATGTCTTCAGTCCCCGGACAATTGGTCCTTATGTCACTGGAACCCCAACGATTCTTTTCAGAGCCCTCTTTATGTCTCTGTTCCTCAGGCTGTAGATGAAGGGGTTCAGCATGGGCGAGACCACTGTGTACATCACCGAGGCTGTGGCACTTGAGTGGGAGCTCTGGGTAGCAGCAGAGCTGAGGTACACTCCTAGGCCTGTACAGTAAAATAAGGAGACAACTGACAGGTGAGATGCACAGGTGGAAAATGCTCTGTACTTGCCTTGAGCTGATGAGATCCCACATATGGAGGAGACTATCTTAGAATAAGAGTAAAGGACCCCAGCCAGGGGAGCACCACCCAGCAGCACAGTTGCAAAATACATCATCATGTCATTAAGAAAGGTGTCAGAACAGGCAAGTTGGATCATCTGATTGAGTTCACAGAAAAAGTGGGGGATTTCCATGTCTGTGCAGAAAGACAGCTGCAACACCATTAAGGTTTGTAACAAGGAATTTGTAACACTGATGATCCAGGACACCAGAACAAGCAATCCACAGAGCTGGGGGTTCATGATGACAGTGTAGTGCAGGGGGTGACAGATGGCCACAAACCGGTCATAGGCCATTGCAGATAGGAGAAAGTCATCCAGCTCTGCACAGAGTAAGAAAAAATACATCTGGCTAATGCAGCCTGCATAGTTAATGACCTTGCTCTGAGTCTGGGTGTTCAGAAGCATCTTCGGGACAGTGGTGGACGTGAAGCAGATGTCTACAAAGGACAGGTTGGCCAGGAAGAAGTACATGGGGGTGTGGAGGTGGGAGTCAGAGCTGATGGCCAGGATGATGAGCAGGTTCCCAAACACAGTGATCAGGTACATGGAGAGGAAAAGCCCAAATATGAGGGGCTGTAATGCTGGTTCCTCTGAAAATCCCAGAAGAAGAAACTTTGAAATGTGTGTATCATTGCCTAGTTCCATCTGGTGGAGTTGACTACTCAGGAAAGAAAAAAAATAACATGATTAATTTTCAAGCAAATGGCTTTATTTATACATTTTATTTTTTCCTTTTATTTATGTTCCAGGTAGTTGATATACAGTGTAAAACTAGTTTCAGGTGTAGAATACAGTGATTCAACAGTTGCACACTTGACCAGCGCTCTTTAGGACCAGTGCGCTCCTAAATCCCCATCAGCTATTTCCCCCAAATCCCATCTCCCTCCCCATTGGCAAGTTTGTTCTCTACAGTTAAGAGTGTATTTTTTGGTTTACCTCTCTCTTTTCTCCCTTTGTCCATTTGTTTTCTTTTTTATATCCACAGGTGAGTGAAATCATATGGTATTTGTCTTACTCTGACTTATTTTGCTTAGCATAATAAACTCTAGCTCCATCCACATTGTTGTAAATGGCAAGATTTCATTCTTTTTGATGGCTGAGTAAGATTCCATTGTATATATTAATATATGTGTGTATATATACATGCACACAGCACACATGTGGACACATACATATCCATGTATGTATAGATAGTTGGGCCATTTCCGTAGTTTGGCTGGTGTAGATATTGCTGCTATAAACATCTGGGTGCATGTATCCCTTTGGGTTAGTATTTTTGTGTTCTTTAGGTAAATACCTAGTAGTGCAACTGCTGGATCATAGGATAGTTTTGTTTTTAATGTTTTGAGCAATCTTCATACTGTTTTCTAGAGCGGATGCACGATTTGCCTTCCCACCAACAGAGAGAGAGGGTTCCCCTTTCTCCACGTCCTCTCCAACATCTTTTGTTTCCTGTGTTCTTGATTGTAGCCATTCTGACAGGGGTAAGGTAATATCTCATTGTAGTTTTGATTTGTATTTCCCAGACAATGGGTGATGTTGAGCATCTTTTCATGTGTCTGTTAGCCATTTGGATGTCTTCTTTGGAGAAAAATGTTTATTCATATTTAATGCCCATTTTTTAAACTAGATTATTTGTGTTTTGGGTGTTGAATTTGATAAGTTCTTTATAGATTTTGGATGCTAACCCTTTATTAGATAAGCCTTTTGCAAATATCTCCTCCCATTCCATAATTGCAGTACATAGTATTTTCCCAAAGCATATAAAATTACTAATTCAAAGAGATACCCACACCCTGATGCTTATAGCAGCATTATCAACAATAGCCAAGTTATGGAAAGAGCCCAAATGTCCGTAGACTGATGAATGGACAAGGAAGGTGTGGTATATGTTATGTGTGTATACACACACACACACACACACACACACACACACACACACTGAAATATGACACAGACACAAAAAGAATGAAATCTTGCCATTTGCAACAATGTAGATGGATCTAGAGAGTATTATGGTAAGCAAAATAAGTCAGTCAGAGAAAGACAAATGCTGTATGATTTTACTCATATGTGGAATTTAAGAAACAAACCAAATGAACATGGGGGGGGGGGAGGGGCAAACCCAGAAACCGACTTGTAAATCTAGAGAACAAAATGAGGGTTGCTACAGGGGGATGGTAGAGGGGGTAGGTTAAATATGGGTTGAGGATTAAGGAGGACACTTTTGATGAGCACTGAGTATTGTATATAAGTGTTGAATCACTAAATTCTATTCTTGAAACTAATATTACACCATATGTTAACTAGCTGGAATTTAAATAAAAACTTGCAGGAAAAAAGTCCCTACAATGCAATTATGGAGAAAGAGTATATATATAAAAAATAAAAAATCATATACCATGTCAGATGGTGACAGGTGCTATGCAAAAAAAAAAAGTAGGTATAGAAAGGAATGGATGGGGAGGGCTCTATTTTTTAATAGGTGTTCAGGAAGGCCTGCAAAGAAGGTGACACTTTAACAGAGGCTTCCAGAAAGATTTAGCAGGAGGCAGGAGGATATTGGGGGAAGCGCATGCCCTGCAGGGAAAACAGAGCCAAGGCCCTGGAGAAGGCGTTTAGTCCAGATATTCAAATCTCACAATGAAGTCAGCATGGGGAGGGAATGCATAGGGATGAGAGGTGTTGGCAGAGAATACTGAGGGGCAAGGTGGCTCTCCTGCCACTGTTGAAACTTGAAAAGACAGGCAGTCCTTCCTTCCCAAGATGTTCTTGGCATTTTAAAAATTTTGTTCCAAGGTATTCTGTGAATTGAGATAGATCCCTTCCTTATTTCCATCCGTTGGTTAACATCCTAGCATTTAAAGGTCACATATTGGAGTATATGAACTCAGGTACCATTGCCCTGAGGACTGCTTGTGCCCCACAACACACACGTGCACACACACGCACATGCACACTCACACGTGCACACACACACGCACACACAGAGTACACTGTGGCCTCCTGGCGCTGCGTTACTATCATGCTTTTCTCACATGCAACCACCGTAATTTTGAAAGAAACGATACAAGGCAAGCTGTCAACATCAGACTACCTTTACCCTAGAGAATGTGTAAATAGTACTTAAATTCTAGTTAGAAAGCCATGGACATGTAAATATGGGGCTCCATTTTAATTAGATCATCTTGTGTCCTGTATTTAAATAAACAAAAGAAATCGGTTCCAGGAACACAGAGAGGAAAGAAATGGACACAGGGGAAAGAAGATCTAAGAAACTCTAAGAAGATCTAAGAAACACAGTCCCTGAGAGACTGTGATGAGAAAGCTTCCCTGGTCCTGGCAGCATTCCAGCCCCAGTTACATACCTTCATGCCCAGAATAATTAACAAAACCAGAACAAAACAGTATCTCTAACCCAGAGAGGAGTGGTGTTATTTATGATGTTAAGACATTTTAATGATTGAATATCCCTCTAGAAAAATGTGCAAAGGGAAGAAACCTACGTAAGACAACAGAAATTACACAGTACAACAACAGAAGGGATTTTTCAAGATGCAGAACAAGAGTTTTCTGAACGATTTTAAATGCAAAACTTTTGGAATCAGAAAACCAGCTTTTGAATGTCAGATCTACCCCATATAAGCTGTTTGAACTTGAGAAAGACAATGAATCTATTCCAAATGTGAATATCCTTACTCAGATAGAGGGGATAAGCAGTGTCCATCCTCCTAGGGTGGTAGACGGCGTTAGTCAGTGTATGTAAAAGGCTTACAATGGTTCCTTCTCGTTAGCAAGTGGATGGTTATCACTGGTGAAGAGATTGGCTGAGTTTTTTCTTCTATGTTGAACAAATATCTTCCTAGTTTCTATACAACTTGGTAATGAAGTATTACGCAGTAAAGCTAGTTGGCATACCCTCTTTTGCATATGGAATACAAATTTTATGTGAATACTCCATGTGAAAGGTGATGCTGAGAAATGTGTCTCAAGAAGTGCTGTTGCAAGGAAACAGCTACCTCCATGGCTCTGGGTCTTTCTACAAATACAGAACATGCTCAAAAACACCACATCTTGAAAAGCTCACGGCACATGCCTCCAAGCTTGATTCTCTGTTTTCCTACTCCCCTTAGCTGCAAAACTCCTAGGTATGTTCTAATTTCACTGTGACCAATTTGTGTCCTCCCCCCCCCACCATTCCTTCCTCATTCTCATCCAACTGACTTCCATTCCCACCGCTCATTGTCAACAATGATCCCTGTATTGCTGAGTCCAGTGGAGCTTCTCTTTTGAACATATTACGTAAATTAATTATAAATGAGTCTACCTCGTCTCAGGTGACCTCAGGTAAAATCTCTCAGATTCCATTCTCTCAGAATCTTTCCCAAAATAACCACTGAGCTCTGAGACTCACATGGATGGGGTCTATAAGAAGAACGTCTCTGTGTGGAGGTCCGACTTTGTCCCTGGATGGTTGATCATGGAGACCAAAGCTCTGTTCCCAGACAGGACAGCAGGATGGAGTGAAGCATTGGTCTCCCTGCACAGACCTGGATCCCAAGAGCAACAACCATGCCTTGCCATATACAAGGTTTCGGATGATGACATTCTGCAGTGGAGGAGATATTTATAGCTCCCTATGTCTGCTCATTAGACACTGTTTCCATTGTTACTCCCACATTGGAGCACATCATTTCCCCGTGGGCCACTGGAGCGGTGGGAAAGGAAAAGTTTCCTGCTGATACTCTGTTGCTGGGATATCAGATTGGAAGTCAGGTGAATCCAGTTTTGTATTACTCACGCTCATGAACTTGCCTGCTTATCAGAGGTCTAACCAGCTTGCACTTTACCTTCACCTTGAGCTGATTTTGAATTCATTGAGTTGAGGGTTTACCATTTATAACTCTGGGTGATTTTCATAAATGAGCCATGAGATCTTCTTTATGTGTGGTTTTGAAAGAAAAGTCTAAGGACTCACCCTAGAGTCTGAAAACAAGTCTGTATTTGATTCTTTAATCTGAGGACCCTGAGTTGGCCTCAAATACACCCCTGAAAAAGACTTTTAGTAGGCAGAATAATGCCCCCCAAATATTTCCACATCTTAATCTCCAGACTTTTCGAATATATCTTGTGTCATGGCAAGTGAGAATTAGGGTGACAAATGGTGTTAACATTGCTGGTCAGCTGACCTGAAGATAAATTTGTTCTGATGATCCAGGTGGGCTCAATAGATCACAAGGTGCCTCCAGATATGGAAGACAGAGGCAGAAGAGTAGGAATCACAGAGAAATTTGAGATGCTATGTTGCTGGCTTTGACGATAAAGGGAGGGACCATGAGTCAGGGAATACAGGTGGCTTTAGTTCCCCAGGACCTCCCCCAGACAGAGTGATTTTAGCCCAGGGAGACCCACTTCAGACTTCTGACTTCCAGAACTATCAGAACATAAATTTATTTGTTCTAAGCCAGTGGCATGGAATTTGTCACAACCACAATAAATATCTATTCCGGATAGTTATCCAATAACACTCTGTTTAGAGAAATGAAATTCAGCCTTGGATCATGTTTATATTCTTTCA